GGAATTGATTTTTTGAAATATATTTTACAATATTTCGTTCTTGTCTCATCATAAATGGAACTTATAAAGCAATATTTAAGATTCATTTATGTAAAGGAACCGATTAGAAGGATTATTTACCGTCTGAAAAATAACGTCATCCATCAATATTGTATTAAATCCTTGGGGCGTTATATTATTATAACCTTACTGAATCAGGGTCTGAAGAGGTAAGGCTATATAATAATTTGCTCTACATAATCTATCATATTACACACTGATATAAGTTATTAATTTATATTAAAAACATTGCTAATTTTAATTAATGGTTAATACGCAATTCAAGAACAGACTAATGATAGTGTAATTTAGTTAAAGAATTATCAGTATTTATACAGTATAACCAAGTTGGATGGATTTAAAATAAAGAATGATATAGCGGTTGTGACATAAAATTTAATAAATTTATAAAAGGTATTAGTATCACTGCAGTTATTTGTAATTTATTGGAATTATTTGGCTGAAAACAAATTAGTATATTACATTTCAAACATAATATACCGAAATGATACTGTTATTAAATATTTTTTTGTAATATCTCGAAACAATGATATACAAATTAATTGTGAAGGGCCATAATGTTCTCCCTTATCAAACAGGCATAATGCAATTCTCACAATGAATACCTCAAGCTAGGCTATTGTGTGTGTGATATTATAGTAATTTACATACAATGGAGCAAGGTAATTAATTGCTTGTTGTACTATAAACATTCTGATCAATTTAGCCAAAAAAATACTTCCTATATTGCAATGAGTCAAATAGTTCTTTACATTTATTTAGCAGTTCTACACGTTTTAAGTTATTTGTTTATATCTTTTAGTTGCTTGATTTAGTAGCTTAAACAAATCATATATTAGTAACTTGTAGTATATTGGTAACTAAATTTAGTAACTATTATCTTATTTCAGCTTTAGTAGCAAACTTTATAAGGATAAATACAACAAGCATGGATCTTGTAACGGCCCGTGTAATACAGCAAAAAGTTAAATGAAATGAAATAGAATCTGGAATATGTATATTATTCATTGGTTTTGTTTTGGATTTTGTTACATGTAATTCATAAACTCGTGAAAAAAATAGATAGAGACTAAGTGTAAAACATAAAAATTTATTAAATAAACTAGAAAAACATACTAGAGTGCTATAGCACTATAAATATTGACAAAGACTCACCCAATAAAAAATAACACTTAAGTTTTGACCCGAAATATGCCCAACTTTATTCACGTTTGTACAGAACACTTTAAAATTACTCGTATACAAATATTTTTTAAATACAGTGTAGTATTTCTTATTGGATTCAAAGTCTTATATCTAGAATGAAGTTGTTAAATTCCCGGAGCTCATTTGTTTCAGACCCGCTTGAGTACTTGGGAGGAATGTTTTATTCATTTGCTGCAGTAGCTCACTATTTAGGAACCTTCTGTTTAATTATATTTTAAATGTTGAGAAATCCTCACCATTTCATAGTCATCACATCCCTTTAAAGGTAATGGGTTGGGTTAATTTATTGTTTAAAGATTAAAATAAAACGAGGTGATGATTTAAAGATGTCTTTTAAATTCTTTTTTCATTGTCACTTTTCTAAATTACATTTCACTTTTTCAAAGAAACTGTGATCACTCAGTCGTCTGTATTGACCGAATTCTCCATCTTAGTTAATTCTGAGTATTTTTAAAATGTATTCAATAAATAAATTTAGGATTTTCCGACGATGGTTGAATTATTTTTATGAATAATATGTTTATGATAATATGTTTATAATATGTATGTATGTATAATATGTTTATATGTTGTATGAATGATATGTTTTTTACACTTTGAGGTAATCATACATCCCTGAAGTATCCGTGGATTTCACTTTATCTCAGCTTTTCGTAAAAATAATATAAGTTTCCAATTATTACAAATTAAATACAAACCTTTCTGATATTCTATCCAGTTAATTAAAATATTGTTTCTAATGGTTGTTTAGTTATTTCTTTTACATTTAAACATACCCATATAAAACATCTCATAAATAGAAACTTATTACATAAAAAGGAACACATTTTTTGGCGTTGATTACTAATGTACGTGCATAAACAATATTGTAATTAATTTGTTTATGGTGTTTCATTAGTTTAAATAAAGAACATGCACCTAATAATTTAACATTCGTTGATCGTACTGTATAAAAGGATAACATTTTATATCGGGAAAATACTCTTCTGGGTGGAGCAAAGGTTGAAAAAACAAATAAAAGCCAAACTGAAGCTTCGCAGCCAAGTGACAGGTGGTGATTGAATATAAATCTGGATAAACAAGTCATTTTGAAAATGTGGCAGAAGGATCGGCTGAATAACAGAAGCATCTTGTGTATCTTACTATGAGTGAAAGAGTCGCATTTTAAATTATGTTTAAAATGTCATAATATTTCTTTTAAATAACTTACCTTTTGTGGTAATAATTATCTTTTACCTTAAGATCTTTTTACAGTTGTGTAATTTATTTTTGAATTTATTTATGTTACATTTAAACCATCTGTAATAGTTTGAATCATTTTGTTCAATGTTTATCAATACATTATTTATTTTAAAACGTCTTTTTGAAAGCAGGATAGATCATACATAAAAACCATAATCCAAATAGGTATTACTAATTGTTTCTAATACCTTTATCATAATTCATATTGTCTTTTATTGGTACTAATTTTATAAATAGGTCAATCAATGAAAACCTGTTTACATCTGTTAAAGAAAACATATTCTGTGGCCCAAGTGTTGTGTGACAAAAAATTTAGATCCTTTGAAATACAAACTATCAGTGTGTTGCAAATAATAAAAACACATTTGCCAACTGTTTAGGAAATTACGGTCCTTTTTAAACAATGAAAATATATAACCTTTTGAACTTCTTTGTTAAAAATGGAGTTGGTAGAAGTTATGAGTAAGAATGTCATCAGGGATTTCTTTTCTCTCAACTCTCCAAGCTCATATATTTTGGAGACAGCCGTTCCGCCGGTAATAGGATGAATTATTTATCGCTATCCAAGGCTGAGATCCTTACTATAATCCTTTCTAAAAACTGTTATTAAGAGATTTGATGGTCATTAATAATATTCAAAAGCGTATCTACTTTCAACCAAAAGAAAACTATACTGATAATTTTTTAAAATTATGAAATAACATTTAAATGTACATCAAATCACGTGAACGTAAATTATCAAACTCTTAGTAAACCAAATATAAATATTTAAAATTTTAATTTAAACAATTAATGCTGATTAAACGAATACTGACCTCCCTAAGTATCTGAAATTTAAGGTTCGTATACTCTAACAATATATAGAACTGCTTGTCATTCATCGTTAAACGTGTCTTTGAAATTGTTTAATTTGAACAAGACTATGAATCATGGGACATGAAAACTTAGTTCATAATATGAATGCATGAAAAATACTGCGCATAATATGTTGTTCAAAATATACTATGTGTATTTGTTGATAAATACCAGAGAAAATAATAGTCGATGGAACCATTATTCATTAGTTATTTTTTTTACTTATGAGACAACACTTATAAAAATATTTACCATGCAAGGAAGGTCTTTTCAAAATTGAATGCAGCGAGCCAACTGAATGAAAAGGTCAGAAGAGAAACAAAAAGAGGAAACCCCGCAAAGTTCGTAAACGAATGTTAAATGAGCAACCTCCCTTCGTAACTGGCCTCTCCGCTTTATAAATATGGACACATAATCGTTTTTGTGTAACCCTAATTTGTGAATTCATTTACAATTCATATGAGGCTCTAGTGTTTATTGAATAATTTATAAAATATGTTAAAATGAGTTTGTATTGTACATTTTAATCATTAACTTGATTCCAATCCTGACCTCAATGTTATTGGTCTGAATTACTCCGATTCTTTTAATTATTTTAGTTTTAATTCTGCCTTAGCTTGAGCTTTAACCACATTTACCGAAAGGAAACATAGTTGAATAATTATTTTAAGGGGCGTGCCATTGTAATAAAATCCTTTTCTCTCTTAGTTTTTGTCACTGAGTTGATATGCTAGTAACCATCCATAATTTGGTTGCTCTTTCAGTTGTTAAAACGTTTAGTTAAAACATTAGCACATTTAGTTAAAACCTTAGCATAGTTGGCAGTAGTTTGTGATATTCACTACTCTCGTTGCAGTTATTAACTGGTCGGATATTGTCTGACAATCAAAAGGTTGCCAGTTCGATCCTACTCAAAGGCAAAATCACTCTAATGGTTCAAATTTAGACCCAGCAATTAATTGGCTTTTAACAAGTAATGTAGACGCAATTTAAGTCAGTAGCAAAGGTTTCGTCTAATCTATATCTCACGTATTACTTACTCAAAATAATTTACCTTGTGGATCAGTATCGTAAAAACCCTACCTACCTAGGAAGATTTTTCTATGACTGACTACAACGTTGACATTGGAGTAGATTGTGTATAGCTGAAGTCAAAATTAAGCTTTTTAGTCAAATTCATTGCTCATGGCTATATCCAAGTGTCAGACAGGAGTATATGTAAGCTGGTCTTATGGATAAAGCATGTGTCTATTTATTAGAAGGTCACCAGTTTGATCTCGAGAAAAGCAATGTCCGTACTAAATCCAAATTAGACCAAACAAACTTTGATCATCGGGCCTTTAAAAGATCCATAAAATATCCATGCTAAAAAGCCCGTCTTATTTTAGTCAGCCACAAAGCTGCCCCAATCGTTCAACAATCATCAATAACTCATCACTCCTGGTGTTAGACGACGTTAAAATCAGGTTAAATACAATGTAAATTAACATGTATATTCTAACATCTTCACCAACTTTCATATAGGAATCCGAAGTCTAGTTCCACTCATAAACAAAGATATAATCCACGTAGTTTTCATTGTTTCAGGAATATCATGAATTCTGCAACCGATAACATTGTTTAATTGTTTTTAACAGATTATCCACGAACTAAACTCTCGCCACTTGGAGCCTGTGGAGTTATTCCTCGGGGTACCGTACGCTGCCGCCCCAGCGCGACTGACCCCGCCCACTCCAGCGCCACCCTGGGCGGGTACCCGGCTAGCGGACTCTCTGCCGCCCGTGTGTCCCCAGCGGTACCCCGACATCAGCAACATGACTGCCGCTCTACAGAGGATGCCCAAGGATCGCTATATGTTGCTGAGGCGTCTTGTGCCTCTGCTGGCGAACATGAGCGAGGACTGCCTCAACCTCAACATTTACGTGCCTGCCAGTGGTGAGTATTAGCCTTTAGATAATTGAGTAAGCATCAGATCTATATGGACCATCTTAGCCACATTTTTATCAAAATATAACGTGAATGATATGAATGTTTCACTGCCCTAGTTACTTGTCACTCATTGTTCATAGCAAGTTGGGCTATTTGGCTTAACAATTTTCCCCCCAAAGCTATATATATTACCAGTTTTTTTTTTATTGTAATGCATCTATCATTGATAAAATGGAAGAATTACCTTATCCAACCACAGTTGCTGGTATGACAACTAGTTTCGTTCCTGAGAACATCGTTAGGTTATTGTATTCAACCACATTATCGATGGTTATCATCAATGGTAGGTACTAGTTGTCATACCAGCAAATGTGGTTGGATAAGGTAATTCTTCTATTTTATCAATCATATATTCCAAACAAGGGTCACAATGAATAACGTATCTATCATACTCAAATGTAACAATGTAGTTGGAACTACGTTACGGTAGTTAGCACGAGTACCTTTTAATTATACCCTGCTTTTACATTAGTTTTACCTATTACCTTGTTAGGTATAGAAACATAGTAAAACAATTTGCTGACAAGATCCCACGTTGCAAAGGTAATGTGTGATATAATTAATGCATGAACAGGTTTTCAAATGATACAAGAAGTCAATAAAAACATTAGGTAATATAGTTATTACTTGGTCAACATTTATAGTTAAGAGAGATAATTTTAATTCAAGCTAATTTTTAATGAAGTATTTTTAGCAAAGTTTAAGATTAGTTATAACAATTTCTAAGGCCTAATTAATATTATCATAACAGAAGCATACACTTAGTCAACTAAATAGATCTTTCTATTATATTTTGATCGTAAATGTGGAAAATGTTATTATTTTAATCATTATTGTTTCACTATTCATAAAAATATAACTTTATTATGAATCGTGATCAATAGAAGTACTTCCTGTAATGAAAAAAGAGAGAGAACGAACATCATCGTTGCGGAAAAACTGCTGAATTGGTTGAACGAGTTATTTAAATGGAGCGTTCTTTTAAGCTCTTTTTTAAACAATATTCTGAATGAAAAAAAAAATAATAATAATAATTTACGGATTGACGTTTTGATTTTATTTATTACGAAATGAAATTATATTAATAACAATGAAGATTCTATTGACATTTTTTTCACTAAACAATCTTTAATTTTTTTATAATGTACTTTCAATGAAGAAAACCGCATTCTCTATACCAGATAGGGTTCGGAGCTGTGCCTTGCAGAGACCCGTCAACCAATGTTTGCACTTGTGATCTGAGTCCACCTTATCTGTAAATGCATAAAGATATTAAGTAGGGTAGGTTTTATATAAGTGGTTACATGTAACTTAATTTTAAACTCTATCCACAAGAATGCATTTAAGAGTTAGTTAATGAATCAGTAAACAGGTTTTGCGTCTAGAATAATGTATTAAGTGCTAGTTTCCTCATATGAACGCTTAACTCTAAGCACTTGCCTAAGTGAAATGGGCTGAAGCTTACCTAGAACATAATCTGCATCAAGCCTGTAACGTTGTTAGTGTAATGCCGTGTTTCCTGTGACAAGGATTATGTCATGTTCTGAATATGTCGTCACTTACTTAATCTCCCTACATCATCCTGCAGCATTTTCTATTTTATTCGTTATAATTGTCTATTTCATTGACAAGGACACAATGCTAAACCAATAATGAAGTATATACTCATAAGTCATTTTACTTTATTTTTCATAAAGGTTATTTTAATAGAGTGTTTTGTATTAGATTTACCATAAATTATTATATATAAGGTTGTTTAAAACATTGTACTTTGGAAAAAAATAACTGTCTCAGTATCCAAGAAATTAAATTAATTAAAAGTAATTTATATATAAGTATATATAGTTTGTTCATTAGATGCTATTAATTTATTATTAGATGATGCCGTAACAGATTGTTATATAATTACTAATGTCAATAAAAAAAGTAGTATAAGAAGCAATTTATGAACAATTATTTATCATATAAAGTTATTTCCCTTAACCAGAAAACGAAATTTATTATACAAAATAAGAGTTGATAAGGTGGGTGTTTCGATATAGGTTTATTATGATAATGTAATATTTGGTGACGGTGGAACAATAATACTCTGAAACCATTCAGGATATTTGAATACAAAACATATTACCGTAACGCAATACATATTTAAGATGTTTTAGTATGTTAGGGTATATATTTAAATATAAGAGTATAAGGAGTATTCTGCTACATTTAGGGGCACTTTTTATTTAACATGAAAGATGTAAACAACTAGGTGTTATGTATGAGTTCTCAGTATTTTGCTGATTAACACAAAATTTATAATATATAAAAAATTTATAAAAGAGATAAATCTTAACAACAATACTTTTTACTGTCCCATTTGAACATCTAGGCCTACTGCAACGTGAAAACTCTAAATTTCCTGATTAACTTGTAGCATGAGATTCAGACTTTTGAACTGATTTAAGGCAGAATGAAAATTATACTTAGATTTTTAAAAGCAGAAAAACATTTGATTGGCTTCCAAAAATACAAAGTTTGCAAATTTACAAACATTTTACTATAGATACTATGATATTATATACAACTATATAGCTTTTGTGATCGTAGGCTTCTAAAAAAAACTTCAAATCAAGATAGTGAGCAGAGTAAACCAAACTACAATTTGAAAAGGTCCCATATTACAGTTATGATTTTGTGCATTTTCCATCTCAATCTTCACAGGCAGGTCTACGTGCTGGTTGATCTTAATCCCTTAGTAATTCTCGCCCTTATTAAATCAATGACCAGTAAGGGTTTTCAAAATTTCTGATTTCATTTCAGCTATATAACCCATGAAAAGTTTATTATATTTCCAAAAGTTTACAATTTAATTTGATCCTTATTCTAAATGTACTGTTTTGCAGGCAACAGAGGAGTGGACGCTCCGTACGCCGTCATTGTCTACGTCCACGGGGAGAGCTACGAGTGGAACTCTGGCAATGTTTATGACGGCAGTGTGTTGGCCAGTCACGGACATGTGATAGTAGTCACCCTCAACTACAGACTGGGGTTGTTAGGTATGTTGTCAAGAATAAAACTATGTATGCTTAAGGGTAACGGTAAGGGCTAAATTACACAGAGTAAGCTCAAAAGCTACTAAACAGCGAGTAGAATGGTGAGTATGGAAAACCACTCCCACTTTAACTAATTCCTCCGACATCATTCAGCATATTATTTCTTGTTGCATGGGCACAAATAACTGTGAGTACACTGAGATGGTTTTACGATCTAGTTTGTTCAAAATCTGATGAGTTCGAATGAAAAGATATTGCCAGAGGAAGCCAATTGAAGAGTTTTCAAATATTTTTAATTTAGTGCCGGTTATGATGAGGAAACTGAGGTAGTTTACAAGCTATGTGTAAAAAAATCAAGTAGTCTTTAAACCTAACGCTTATAATAGACCCTTAATGGAGGTTTACATACGTCATGTTATAAATAAGATTATGTTTATTCTATTATGTTAGCTGGTTATTTCTAGCCTCATTCAGTTTTAGTTTAATTCACCCTATTTTAATAAATTTCATCAAGGTCCCATGGCTTATCAAGCTAATGGTTTTTACACTACATTGTGTAAATTCAATATACAGTAGAGATTATTGGCATTATGCCAATTTTCGAAACCTTTAAGACAGTTTAAAAAATGTATGAAGATAATTTCAAATTTTCTTTTTTTCATAATATATTTACATGATAAAAGTATTTCAATAATATTACATTAAAAGTGAATATCTTAAATTGAAATACCTTTTAAGCAAAACTTTACACTAATTGTAAATCCTCAAAGTGATTAATTTATTGAATACATTTAGTATTACGGTTCTTATAGTTATTTAATTAACTCAAATTAAATCAACTAGGATCATAAACAAATACAAATAAATATTTATGAAATCTATTTTTAATCTGATAAACTAAACAAGCATAGGTATAACATATGACTCGTACAGCATCATATAAGTTTGAAATATGTAGTCCCACATGAATATTCTCTCCTCATCATTTCCACCTCTAAGCTGTCACACGGGGCTGAGCTTCATTTATCTATCAACCTCAGGCATATGTCTCGACCTACATTTATTATCAACTTCACCACTTCCCTTAGGACATCTATTCAATGCAACACAGTTAAGGACGCCAAACATAAGTCTGTGATAATTGCTCATAAGAATTCTCGTGGGTACTATCAATGTAATTAATCTCAGAATAAAAAAAAAATGTTTATTTTTTTCTTTACGCCACACTACAACTGTTTTAACGAACTTACCACCCAAGGATTTAGTCTAGGAAACAGCTGTTTGCCGCCAGCTTTATCAAATGGGGTTTCATTACGTACTACTGTACTGGAATGAGTTTTTACTAAGCAGCTGATTATACAAAAAAGTCTGGAAACGGCTAAATATGTTTTTAACTAAATTCGTTGGAAAATGCAAATCTTTTACATCAACTTATACGTATAAAAACTTCTTTTTGCAATCATTTACATTTTTTTACCTCTACATACATATTCTTTTATATATGCATAGGTTGATATGCCATAATAAACCACACCCTAAAAGGTCCATCCGTTACAAAATGGCGGCTGTCCAAATTTCTTGCGCGAAATACCTGCACAAGTCTTATTGGTAAATACCCGTAGTGAACATTAGCTTGAGAGCCTCAATAAAAAAACATTTTTATTTCATTTAATTTCGAAATGTGTTTACCAGACTCGTTTGGGTTTGGTATTCCCACACTCGACTTCACCTAGCACGGGAACGACTACACTAGTTACGTAATATCTTTGTTATATACTATTCATTATCGCTTACCTTAGTAAACCTGTAAAATGAACATATGTCCAATAGTCTTAACATATAAACTTCGCTCGTAATTTGTCAAAAATATGTTTAACTGTAGGTTGATCGCATAAGATCCTGCAGTCTGTAGTATAAAAATTCGTAAACTGATTAAGACAACTTAACTAGAAATGCTGCTGAGTTATTTTCCTAAATAGATACGTTTAAGATTTATTTTTAGAGAGGGTTAATAAGGGTATGTTCAGAATAGCTAAACTAATTATTGGCTTTGAAGGGGTATTAAATAGAGGAGGGATGGATTATAATTAAAAAAAAAAAATATGGATATCTTTATCATAACAAATATAAACAAAAAGTAAGTTAAAAGTGTATACCCAATGCTGTGATGGATACTACCTTAGTTACATAAATGCTGATATACCTTTATTTTGTGCCTACGCCCAAACACTATACGAGTTTGCAAAGGTAGACGAATAATCCAGCAATTCTAGGAATGGAACATGTTACGGTAGTTGTATGTAATTTAGCAGTATTTAAATGAGAGTGAGCAAACGCTCCCAAGTTTCCTGAAAGTTTACCTTGTTGCTGGCTGTTAGCTTAAGTAACTTCGGCTACAGTTTATGCAAATTACAGAAAATAACGAATTCATATGCTAATCTTTTTACCATATTTTACGGCCCTATACAACATAAACACCTAAATATTATTATTTTGGTCGAAGTTGTTCTCAAAATGATAATGGTTTTTTATAATGTTAAAAACATACAGAAGTAATATTAAATGCTATTATAATGCTGTGAAATAAAGCAAAATATGACGTTTATTCATTGGCATTGTAAATATTTGGTGTTGCTATAATCGTTAAATATTCATCAAACTGTTTGAGTTTCAGGAGTATGCATATGTTAAGTTTGCATTGTTTTATGACTTTTACATATTTTTTTATTTGGATGGAAAACATCTTTATCTCTTACTGATTTGACGCATAGTTTTTGTTGTACAAAAAAAGTATTACACGGGAATTAGCGATTTTTTAAAAGTAGTATAGTTGTTTACATAGCAATAAGTAAACACTTTTGTCGTATTTAATCTCTATGTAGTGGCCGATTTTAGGTTAAATATTGACTAAAACCTTTGGAGTAGATTTCACAATATTAAAATTTAAGTATTCAAGGTAACTGTAACAATAAAATGAATGTTATATATATTGATGTTTTTAAATCCAAATACAATTGTTGTTGCTTTTACTTCTAACCCCACGGATAAAGAGAAATTATACCTTGAATTAGGTTTCAGCAACCACTTCTCTTGGAGGCCCGGGGTAGAATCTTGCTAAACAACAGATAATTTAACTACGCAATAATGCCGTGTAGTTAGGAGCTTACGGAAAGCAGTAGGTAGATCTGTGAAAAAAGCAGAAACTGACAGGTACCTCACCTTACCTGACAGGGGGAACATTACCTTTTGTTTAACCAGAATAAAAAAAAATTCCATACATGGACAGAGTGGAGTTAGTGATATATATTTTTAGAGAGTATCCATTAACTTGGAGTAAAAAACCTATTCATGGTCCATGGATCGATTGTGTCCATCGACGTACTGATGTAGTGTGCCATCATCAGGGTTACTTGAATTCCACCACACTGTTTACGTGTCAAGTGAACTTTGATGAGAGAAGCGTTTCGTGGATTTCGACACGTTGCCCTAGGTTTCAAATCTGCATCAAGTTACTGTGAATCCTATCTGTGATTAACATACCCTTTTGCTTAGAAGAATAGAAACAATTACTGGAATATGACATCCATAATATTAAAACGAAACAGTGTTTTTCTATTTCACGATTCTGAATCAACCACTCGACGGATTTTCATGATTTTTGTGTTGAAAGAAAGATAATTTTGAGAAGTAGGGAATGTCGAAGCCATAATTTTAGTTTAGGGTCCCAGTTTCTTAGAAATTAAGTTTTAATTTTTAAAAAGTCTAGCAGCCGACGCTAAGATTCTAAACTAGCTTTTGGCAAAATATAATTTGCTTAACATAACAGCTGTAAACATTCAGCGATTGTAACACAAATTCAGCATTTGGATAAGATTAAAAGACATACTAAGGGTTGACTTATTTATACTATGTGTAATGCTAATCATTGATATGTTCAATGCTTCAATAAGAGGATGAGGATGACAGATTATTTAAATATACATAGTAAAATACTAGGATGTTCAAATTATTCTTTTAAGTAATCTTTGTAATCTTCGGTTTGTTTTAGTGAAATATAATTTATTTTAACTAACAGCTGGTTAAATATAAAAATCGTTTTATGAAATCTAAACAGTTTTTAGCGTGTGTTTGAGCAGTTTACTGTAAATTGTGTATAGTATGAGTAATTGTATTGTGGTGATATTGATTATGGAAGAGGCAGGTATGCGATGGAATTGGAAGGTGATATCGTTGACTAGGCCTATACACTTCTCAATTGAAATTACTCTTTCTACTGTAGGCTGCAATAAAATTTGTCTTTATACGTGTAGGCTAGCTGTTCTGAATTATACACAGTTTTAACTGACTACCTACTCCCGTATGTAGGACGGGCGAACACCTCGTTATCAATTAAGTTCAATCATGTTATTCTACGTGGGTAATACTCGTTACCTCTTATCTCTACTGAGCTCCATAACGTATCTAGAAATGCACTCTACTCCATATCTTGTGACGTAATCTAATGTTTCCAGGGTTCCTCAAGCCTCACTCCGGGTCGCACGCGGGAGACTGTTGCGTCGCTCTACGAGACATAGAGGCAGCTCTAAAGTGGCTCCAGCTCAACATAGCCTCCTTCGGCGGAGATCCCGGCAGGGTGACGGTCGTGGGTCATGACACAGGCGCCGCGCTCGTCAACCTGTTACTGCTACAGGAGTCGAACAAAGGTGAGGAGGAAACTGTGGGCTAGGAAAGTGGTTGAGGTAGTAACAGTGAAGATGATAAGTTGGAATAAGTGAGTATGTTGATGCAGAGAATGTATGTTAAAAACTGAAAAATAGGTTAGTTTAGGGGGATAAACAAAAGTAGTCATTCAATTTAGGGATGAAGAATATTATATCCTTTTTATTGTGTTAAAAGTGGTAAAAAAAGTTTGTATTTCAGATTGCAATCTTCAATTAATATAATTAAAACAGGTCACACAAAATCGTACATCCTGTAAAGCAACCCAAAAGGAAAAGACCTAATAATACAGACCAACAAAATGAACTAAGGCATCAATTATAATATATGATTAAGTTTTTAGGTGAATGCAACTTTCCATTACCATAACCTTTTAGAGTATTTCGAATATTTATAATTATGGTATACAATTGATGGGCATAATAAAATAAAAAATAAATGGCTAGTCTCAAAACAGGTTTGTGACTTGATGATATCTCACCTCCAACGATTATGGTAAACTATGCAAAATCAATACTTGATTAAAGCCTAACCTTTCTCACCATGAAAAAGAGAGTGGAACAAATTCCTATCGAAATGATACCTAACCAAATCAGTCTTTGAACTCCCTTTAACCTTTAATTAAGGTCACAACTATTAATTTGTAACTCTTTCAAAAAATAACTTAGTGGGGTATGGACTTTAAACATTTTGCCTCATTTAAGGGAATTATGTAATGTTAAATATACGATGTTAATATTATAGCAGTCCTTTTTGCAAGTAATTGTCTTCACAATACGTTTGCTGAAATCTCAAGTCGAGATGGCTCAGAAGATCGTCCAATAGTGCTGCAGTCAAGCACAAGGCAATTGTGCGTCTATCGCTGGTTCTTTGGAAATTGGACACATTCGGTAGATACAATAACAATCGATTTGGTCCATTACAAGGGTAAAATGTTTCATTCCTTATTCAATTCGATCCTAATGAGTCTTTGACATTTGCAGTTCCTTACATATACATATTAAACTTATTTTGGATATAGTTTGATCCATTTTAAACTTCAAACTAAAGAGCTGCGAATCTCTTAGGTTCATAAATTATGAATTACCATTACTTCACAGAGACCATTTTCTCAGGTGAATTATGTACAAAATTCATATTTTCCACTTATAAAAACCATAAACGTATAAAAACTTTATTTTATTTAACACAGGTCCATGCCTCCTGCCCACCTTGAGGTGTTCATCCAAAAATTCAGGTATATTAATTTGACTTGAAGACGATTGACCTGCAAAAGATTAAATGACACAGTTTTACAATGATAATGTATTATATCCCTAGATTATGGAATTAAAAAATAATTCATCCTGTAAAACTATTTTACTACATTTCCAGGTCTCCTTCATAAAGCAGTGCTGTTATCAGGGTCCATGCTCAGTCCCTGGGCGCTTGTCCCAAGTCCAGACTCTACAAGGTCACAAGTCACAACCTACCTAGGTTGTCCAGACAAGCACGACCTGCCTGCTTGTATTAAGGTAGGCAGAAAATACGTGTTATAAAAAAAATAACTATATCAAACCAATTTTAATAATAATATAAAAATGTATGATAATGTATATATTAAATAAAATGTTGATTATTTATTTTGGACGTGTTTTGTAGACTCAAGGCTTGAAAAATATTTAAAATAAAGTTTATTGAATATCTTTAAAAATTGATACACAGTTTGAATAGTTTCATATTTATTATTACCCTATTGTGTTATCGGTTTTAAAATATATACTATACAGTTATAAAAAGTTAAAGGATAAACTTGAAGTATGAAAAAATTAGTAAGTAATTGAAACTATATAATAAATACAGATATTTCAAATATAGTTGTACATTCATGTTTGTTTGTATGTTGAGAATCGGCGTGTGCACATTAAACTAAATTATCAATCAACTTGAAAGCACTACATCACTGAGAACCTGATTTGAATTCCAATGCAAATTCAGATTATATAGTCATTATTGGGTTATTGGATATGCCACTGTAGTAGAATTATTGTAATTATTGTAGCTTGCACGGAATTAATTGTAGCGGGCGTTTCTTTCATTAATAAACGTAACAAAATCGCTTGAGCCTGATCATTTTTACCAAACCACGTAGTATATTTTTAGGCTGTTTCAGAAACTCATTTTTTGCAAGGAAATATTGATTTGTATTACATTGTTGGGACTCAATACTTTGGTAATAGAGTCAAAGATTCCTACTCCACTGGCCTTCTTTAATTGCATTTCAAACTGATTGCACATTTACAAAATTGTATTGTTATTGTCTACACCTATGTAGTATTAAATTAATCATCACACTTTAAAACCTATGTAGTATTACATTAATCATCGCACTTTAAACACTATGTAGTATTACATTAATCATCGCACTTTAAACATTATGTAGTATTACATTAATCATCGCACTTTAAACACTATGTAGTATTTCATTAATCATCGCACTTTAAACACTATGTAGTATTTCATTAATCATCGCACTTTAAACACTATGTAGTATTACATTAATCATCGCACTTTAAACACTATGTAGTATTACATTAATCATCGCACTTTAAAAAACAATGTACAGTAGTTTTACATTAATCACCGCACTTTAAAAAACAATGTACAGTAGTTTTACATTAATCATCGCACTTTAAAAAACAATGTACAGTAGTATTACATCAATCATCGCACTTTAAACACTATGTAGTATTACATTAATCATCGCACTTTAAACACTATGTTGTATCACGTTAATCATAGCACTTTAAACACTATGTAGTATTACATTAATCATCGCACTTTAAACACTATGTTGTATCACGTTAATCATAGCACTTTAAACACTATGTAGTATTACATTAATCATCGCACTTTAAACACTATGTTGTATCACGTTAATCATAGCACTTTAAACACTATGTAGTATTACATTAATCATCGCACTTTAAAGGTAAATTAGTCGAAATCTTCCGAGATTTTTGGATAAAGCAGGGTAGGAACCCCATCCCCATACAATCATGACCAGAAACACGCCCTTAACCAACGTCTACTTACTAAATGCTGTCCATCCGTCTAAACTAACTAACTTAACTACTTTATACGTCTAGGACCTGCCACTCTCGAAGCTGCTCGCTGTGGACTTCCCCGCCCCCAGGTTCCTACCCAGGTTCGGACCCTGGTCAGTCAACTCGCCCTCCTATACGATGGAGCACGCGGGAGACATGTTTATGTCCACTCCTCTGCTGCTAGGAGTCACCACCACTGAGAGCTACCTGGACATGAACGAACACGATATCCAGTACGGGTTCGAGGAGGATCAGAGGAATCGGATACTTAGGTAAGTTTAAGGTCTAGTTCACTGCTAGTTCCCTATTCTAAATATTTTCAACATAATAAAATTGACAGATTTCCAATGATAGAAATCTCCAATAGTCCAATTGATAGCCTGTTATAATGATCTGAAATTGGCTAGTGTCGTAGGAAATGAGGATGTGGGTTTTATGGAGTAGGACTTAGGATAGTCCCACAATTCGTCGGAAAAACAATTTCCACCTCCCCCAAAAAGCACACAAGTACTGTTCACATAACAAATCCAACAGTTACAACGTGCAATAATATCGATTGTTATGTTTTTAACAATAATCATTAATGTTTCCAGAACGTACGTGAGGAACGCTTACGTGTACCACCTAAACGAGATCTTCTCTACGGTACGTAACGAATACACAGACTGGGATAAGCCTATAGTACATCCCATCAACGTGAGGGACAGTGTGCTAGAAGCTCTTAGTGATGGCCACACTGTATCACAACTATTAAAGATGGCAACACTGCATGCCAAGAGAGGCAAGGCTTCTACACACATGTTCCACTTCAACTACCAGCCCAAGGACTCTGACTTCCATGAGGTGAGAATTGCATTTGTTTGTTGTTTTATTTTTATTTTGTTAAGTTCAATATCTTTTTGTTTGATGATTTCAATATTTACATAAATAGTTTTTCTTTAAATGACACATAGAACAAAGAAAACAAAATTTTATCAACACCATTCAATAGAAAGTAATGAAATAAAGTTTTTCCATTAAACACAGATTTTCCTACTTTCATCGAGGAATTAGTAAATTTAAATGCAAGGATAAAAAAAAAAAAAAAAAAAAAAAAAAAAAAACTATAGCAGGTCCTTTTCGTCAAGGTATTGTTATAGAGTGTTGACTATTCATAAGGTTTGTTCATACGAGTTTTAAAATTTGACATTTTAACTACAATTTGAAGCTAATTCTAACTTTAATGTTAGTCTACCGCTCTTAACTCCAAATACAAATATTAAGTAGTAATTAACATATCGTTCCTCTTTCTCCCCCAGCGACTCGGGAGTGTCCGAGGGGAGGACTTGTCCTTTGTCCTAGGTCAGCCTCTGGTGGGAGGTCATCCCTACTTCCCTCACAACTACAGCAGACAAGACATGTCCGTGTCTGAAACTCTGGTCAACTTCGTCACTAACTTTGCTAAAACTAGGTAAGTAAAAACTATATAGTGTTTAAAATAATCTTATTGGTTATGTGTGCACATTAAGTGTGGCATATTTACATGTTTGGGGTCCTATCATTAACCTATAAAGAACTTCTTTGACATAAGTTAAGGTTGTAAAATTAACTCTTCTTAGTTTTGGGGAAAAGAATACAAAGATTGTTTTATACTATTCACATAAGCTCAAACATGGCCTTTTATTTTCTTGGTCACTGTCAAGAGCACAACACCATATTATACACTACAATTTGATCATAGTGGCTCTTAGGTGTTCAACTTTGATCTTAAATCTGTTTGATCCTGAACATATTGGTCTTAGTATTTCATGTTCATGTATCTATTTAAGACAAGTTTTAAAAAATATCTTCAAATATACACACACTAAAGCTGTAATCAATGATTTGTCTGTGTAGCTAGGGGAGTTAAAAACTATTTTTTAACTTTATTCCACATAAATCATGAATGACATAGATCTCATTCGGATTCTGCAATCATACACAATAACCAAAAGCATGTAGTGAAGCTATCTACCTACTAAATTTTAACCAAAAAGCAAAAGCTGCCCTAATCATTAATCAAACTGTAGATAAATCTATTTACTTCTAGAAATTCCCCAATTTATTCAAAGACGTTCTTCATTGACAATTCCTAAGTTTACAAACCCTCTCTTAAGTGTTTTTTTTGTTTTTATAATCTTAAGTGGTTTTGTATTTACCAAAGTACAGCTCAGCGATAATTAAGGGCACAGCTGGGGAGGACGAAAGCCCTTCTCTATTATTGTTATGTAAGCACTTCAACGGTAATTGTTTCCATCAATGATACTTGAGAGCTCAGCGGGTAAAGTTCATTAGTAAACCATCGCCAAAACAATGTTTAGATAATCGTATCTTCAAAACCCTAACACTTACTTTTTAACACCTGTATTTTGGGCAGATATTTGTTTCACAGAAAAACGTAGTTTTATAAAATACATGTCTGTTATAAAAGTGCTGTAATTTAGCTAATCTTACGTTTGTATAGCAATCCCAATGAGCCTAGACATCATCATACGTCCAGTAAAGACAAATCTCACCACAGAGGCCTTACTTGGGAACCGTATGACCTCAACACCCAGCTCTACCTCAGTCTAGGTAAGTGGTTAGATTAGTAATTATTATGAATATAAAAAAAACCAATAAAACAACAAAAAAAAATATTATCATAACTATGGGCAAGACACGTGAACACATATCTTGATATAATATTACTAATTCAAGTTCAATTTGCATTGTAGCTAAGTGTATTGTGTCGTTGATAATGGCACCAATGTAGCAATTTAAAGATATAACAGTAGGCCAACGTTAAACAGACACAATAAGTGAAATGAAAAAAAGGAATTTTAACTTTTTATTTTCCATACCAAATTAACTTGGATCCATTTTTTTTATTTGCCCTAAACATCATTTCGTTTTTAAAGTGCTAGACTATATTACCAAAGGCTAATATGCTTCGAATGCTATAACAGAGGAGTTACCAAAATAAAGAGGAAGAAGCTGGTCTTCGGGTAGAGCACGGGAAAAAACTTACACCCTCAAGTGTTATGCAATCCCACCAACCACCAATAATTTCAGCTAGGTTATGTAGGCTACTGCCTTCCTCACTTAGCCTGTTATGTAAAACATTTCCGAGATGGAGCAAACGTCCAAGAATTTGAGGTTAGACTGTTTATATTTTGTAATTTTAAAACAACAATTAAAATAATGGTTGTCATAAGGAGTTACCTATACATTGTTTCCAGGGGTCAAGTCCCGTATGAAGAGTCACTACCGTGGACACAAGATGGCGATCTGGCTGAACCTGATACCACAGCTGCATCAGTCGGGAGATCAGGACGTCAGCATGAGACATCACCACTTCCATGAACGGGAGAACCACTACTACGCTGGTAAAACATATAAAACCACTATAAAGCTGAGAGTTAATTGCTTAGTGTAGTAATGCGGCTGTATAGTATTTAGATAGAAATATTCTTTAAGTAAGGTTTTTACGAAAATGCTTTCTTTCTATTTCAAACAAGCTTAGCAATAATAGCCTAAGAAACCGAATCGTGTCAAGAAAAAAAACCAGAATGGACATGCTTTTGATCCCATAAGAAATCTTAAAAATTGGTATTTGTTTAAGATAAGATTTTCAAGGTTTGAATCTACATGTTTGAACGAATCAATTATAGTATCAAACGTTGCTATTCGCCATGATAATTTTTACATTTATGACATTACGACATTTATAAAAGGTTAAAAAATACTAAGATATCCTTGGGATATGCACACAGTCTTTATAGATATTACATTGGTAAGTTAAGCGTACAACAATAGTTTACCTACACTCCGTATCCACTGTCCAGGCTCGATAAGGGCAGAGGCGATGACCAGGATCCCAGAGCCTGTGTCCCTGACGACCCCCGTCACTGCCCCCGTGGTGGAGTGTGAACACAACATGACGTCCACGGAGGCGGAGCCCCAGCCGTCCAGGGAGGAGGAGCAGGAGGCGCTGAGACACTACACAGGGTTCACCGCAGCTCTAGGAGTCACTGTAGGAGTCGGGTGTCTACTGCTGCTGCTTAACTTGTTACTGTTTGCAGGTAAACCCCTAATATCTATATATTTCATAACTTGATATAGTATTTGATTTTATGTGGTATTAAACTTACACTAATTTGGATGAAAATCAAGTCTTTTGGTTGAAATTTGAACCCTCGAAATTTAAGACAAGAAAAAGTACACTCCTTTTCCATTGAATTAATTACAGACTAAATTTAGAGTTGCCTTACAAAAGGAACCGTAAATATTTGATAATGTCTCTTTGTCTTCCTTTGATTGTCAAGAATACTTGACATGTTTTATATCTAATGTAAGGAAATATAACCTTCGTTTACAACCCTTGGCATATCGTTATCATACATTGGCTAATCCATCAGTATGAGAAGTTTGACGTGTTTCTTGGTTAAATATAAATATAATTAGGAACATTTCTTCTGAACTGCAAATGGTATTTCTTTATGACAAATTAAGAACAAATTAACACTGTTAATTCAAAACTTTTTTTGTTTCCAGGTATTTTCTATCAGCGAGATCGCCAAAAGAAGAGTAAACAGTCCAGGGAAGAGTTGGAAGACGTCATCTCCCTGGATACGTTTTCAAAGAAGAGTCCAACAATCCCCGATCCACCACCTCCCCCTAGACATCCTCCTGTGCCTCCTACAAGGACGTCTAGCAACCCCTCGGGAACGGTCAAGAAGAGAGTGCAGATACAGGAAATATCTGTGTGACAGTGCGGGATTCCGTCAAAGGACCAGAATAGAACAGATATTTTTAGTTACATGACTTTTAAACAACTGCGAAATATTTTGTGAAATAAAGTTCACGTAGTTGCTAAGGTTTTGGTATCCTATGTACAGTGTATATTGTGGGACTGTATCTAACTTTGTTTTAGTATTTCATTTTAATTAAGCGTATTGTATTGAACTGTATGCCAATTTTGTTATTTGATATATAGCAATAGCATTAATAATTTTTTATACGTTCTCTCTGTGGTTATTTTACATGTTAAATAAACAATCAACTAGATCTCCTACAAAATAATTTCTTATTTTCAAGGTTTCACTCTTTTTTATGAATGGAACTCCGTGTAATATACTAAGTGTACATACAATGTAGAGTATCTCTGATATAAACCTATACTGTATATTTTTAAATAGTATTTATAACTATAAATCGAACTGTTCACTAATGTAAGTAAGGTAATGAATCAATTAAAATATTGTTTTGCAGCTTGTGTTTTCATTTACATACTCCGATGTGAAAGGTTTGCTATTTGAGAGTTTGTAGGCAATGAATGAGATAAAATATAAATACCTTAATACTTATTGTTAGTAGTACTAATATCAAGTTTCAACCTAAGCCTTTCCAAGTTTTGGGAAAGGTTTAGGATGAAAATTTATATTAGTACTACTAATAATACGTATTAATGTATTTATATTTTTATTACGTAAGTGCTGCAAAAAATATATAAATACATAAACAGCTAATATATAAATATATTACAAGGAAAATAAGATATAAAAATAAATGCAACAAAGGTGTTCTAGTATGGTTACAAGGTGATTATATTTAGTTAAATAGTGACAAGAGCGTTGTACTCACAGACGTTTGCGTCAAACTTAAAATGTATAAAAGAGTAAAAGATGTACAATTATATCCTGTTTCACGATTGAACACTATGTAAACTACAGGCACATCGTTTTTCGCCTTCACGCCATTCATCCTGTCTGACAAGACAGTTACTTCTATGATTGATAAACTGAAGTTTCATGACAAGTAAATGTATTAACACCGAAAGACTCTTAAATCCCGAGCAACTTGACTTTCGTGGCAAAAAAACTTTTAATTTTCTCGCCGAAGGACCCAACTTTGCAAATACTGCTTCCTTTGTTGCTTAACTTCCTCTCCTAAACTTTAGCCTTACTAATGATATAGCATTGTTTTATGGTATTTTATTCATCTTAAAATTTCAAACTCACTTTGTAAAATAGTATCTGTATACATTAGTAAGTTTGTAGTTAAAATTAGTTTGGATTATGTTTTACTGTCCTTAAACTATTATATCATGATACAAATTGATTTATAAGAAAATTACAATTGTATTCAATAAAGAACTCTTTTTGTAGGGAGGAATACGCTCACTGAGATGAACAATGCCCTCTCATTGATGCCGTACTCCCGCGGGCATAATATCCTCGGACTACCGGCTAAATTACCCCGTCATCTCCTAGGACACTAGCCTGGAAATGTTATCGGGCACATTACTTCTGGTTAGGTCTTTTAATCCTGGAAATTAGGACATTCTATCTTATTTTCTTCCGAAGGCTAAGGCCAATCTAGATCAACCTTCTTAGCCTGAAGTATGGCCTCGGTGAACTGCATGGCACAGTTCCAGGAGCCCTCTCAAACGGTGTTACCGGAAGTGATGTTGACGCCGATCTCAGAGATTTAAGAGGCTCGGCGGACATGCCACCGGTCGCAAAAGAAGGTGTACTTGGCTGTGTCAGCGATGCCGGGACAGTACAGACCGTCCAAGCTGGCGGCCTTCCATATTCTGTGCAAAAAGGCCGGGAAGTACCCGTGGCCCAACCAAAACTGGGTGAAGAAATCCCCGACCTTCCCATGCTCCCGTTCCAAACATGGTCAGATACTGGGATTGAGCCTGGTGGTCCAACACTCGGCGTCCCATTTACGCTGCCAGTGATTTGAACTGCGGTTCTTCTGCGGCAAAGACTGCTGTACTTCCGTCTCCCTAGGTATCCTCAGTCTCCCGTAAAAACTTATGAAGATCATAGTTTGTTTCAAGTCCAGAGAAGCGCAGTAAAGAATTCAATTGATCTAGCCTATCGAAATTATGTAAATAGAGTGGAAGATTGTATAAATGTTGATACTGTAGCAGTAAGTATTGAAATTGTATTCAAAGTGAAAAATCTAAACGAAATAAAATTATTGTAATGGGGCGCAATGGAGTAGGGCTGGATAACGGAGGCTAACCATTCGGAACACAATTGTCAAGTATTAAGAACACTTATATTTTTATTTTAGTAGTATACTCAATGATTACTCTGGGCAACTGTACTTGCCCAAAAACACACACATACAGTAATGTAGATTCGAATATTTTTCTAAACCAAATATTAATTAATTACTAGTACAGTATTATGCTTATTATTCATTAAATTATCATTCATGCAAAACAATATATATTATAAACAATATATATTAAAAATATAGCTATCGATAGGGAAAAATCTATTTTATATTGTAATCTAAACAACAATGTGTTTTCATAATTAATTTTAAATCTCTACTTGTATATTAATGAAACGTTATCCGTACATAAAAATAAAACATCATAGACGATCGAGATAATATTTAATCTTGATGACTTCTTGCTTGAGTAGAATATAATTGAGCTTGACTAACCAGTTTACCCTGTCAAAGCTTTAACCTCAAATTGGATTTCAAAACATTCATCTCTCTCGCTAATTACATTTCAAAGACATTTTAACTTTTAACTATCATAACTTTTGTCGGTTGTAATACTTTGCGAAAAAGTTTATTAAATGTTTGTGATGATAGTAATGGATTTAATCATCTTGTCACAGTTGCCTAGTTAAGGATTTTTTTTGGATTAAACTTATGTTCGCATCTATTGACTAGCTGCATATAACAGTATTTCAAATTTAGCGTAAAATGTATAGTCGTCAAATTATAGTTAGTAATGCAGTATCAAATACTGTGTACAAACCAACGCAGATGGCTAAGGCTATTTCGGCCATCAATAGGGACAACATTATTTTCTAGCCCTTGCTGAAGTGTAAAGCTTTGTTCATTATTTACAAAATGACATTAGGAATGATCATAAACTGCTGATGTATTTTTTTAAACAATATGATATTTCAAAACTAATATTAACATAAGTGTAAACTCAACAATTTCAAGAAAGTCATAACTACTTTAAAACGTATAATATTCAAAACGCAGCTTCTCAGTCCATTAAAATCGTTTTAGGCTAAATTTATTCGACCTTAGGTCGATTCATACACATCAGTTACGGAACGTCACAGTCCAGTCACTTCAGGCACGAAACAGTTCTTTGATGGATTTTCTATTGCGCTATCTACACTCATCCGTTGCAGTCCCGTCAGTCACTCTGCTGGCATCCGTCAGTCAATTTCAGATTTCTTTCCAACGATACTTTTTGATTCTTCGGACACCTGACTGAACTGTTTGAGGTTAGAAAATAGTGTTATTGTTATTTAAATGGTTGCGTTTGTATTTTGAGTATTGTTTGTAACAATCAACAAGATGGACAATGATAATTTAATAGAATATAGGTTTACAATTTAAATTTGTTGACTGTAAATTAATGTATATATTAGAGACGGAAGACTGACTGAAACCAAATGACGGACAATTGACTGATAAATTGCGGATGCAACTGTGACTGGACTGTAACTGGACTGCAACTGGACTGTAACTGGACTGTAACTGGACTGTAACTGGACTGCAACTGGACTGCAACTGGACTGTAACGGAACTGTGACAGGACTGATGTGTGTGAATCGACCTTAAAGGGTCGTTCTTATCTGAAATAAAAATGTTAAAACTTGAAAATGTTGTTTTTTACCAACCCTTAGGAAAAGCTTCTAAATAATATAAAATATAGCAATGAACTTATTACTTGAATTCCCCCCCCCCCAAAAAAAAATACAGTTTTGAACTAATTTACAGCTACGCAACTAAACGTTACGATTCAAAACTAAAATTAATTTATGAGGTAGCCAAAAAATATTGATAGAAAGATAGTAGCTCGTATCTTTTGAAATTCACCATGTATTTTCTATATTGAAATTATTGAATCATAAGTTTATTATATATATAAAAAAAATTAATTATTATGAACAGAACCTACGATCTCCATTGGTTATACTATAGGCTACGCATGCAAGTCAAAACGTGTTTAAGCATGTAAAAAAATGACAGGATACGGATTTAGGTTACTTTAATAGTTAATAGTTTTGCAACATAGTGTGCAATAGTGAGTTGGTATTTACTACTTTTAACTAGTTGGAAAAGTATCTATCAGCTTTATCATAGGGCTACACCTATAACGGGACCCTTTAGACGTAGCCTGAAGACGAGTGTAGTATGGAGCCAGACAAGCTTCCTAATAATGTATTCTATTCATAAACGAATATGCATTTGTTACATTAATACTCAAAACTTTGGTTTGAGAGTTACGGGACACCCTGTATATATATATATATATATATATATATATATATATATATATATATATATATAAACGGTTAATTATTATGAACAGAAACGATGATCCCCATTGGTTATACTATACGCATGCAAGTCAAAACGTGTTTAAGCAGGTAAGAAAAAAATGACAGGATACTGATTTAGGTTACTTTAATATAATTTTTTGAATATGCATAGCACAGATCCTTGTCATGGTTTTGTGTTTTGCATATTGTTTTGTTGGTGAAAACATTTTCCAGAACGTTGAACATACACATATAGTACAGTTGAAATCATAAACCTGTATATAATGTGCAATAGGGAGTTGGTATTCAGTACTTTTAACTAGTGGGGAAAGTAGGTATCAACTTTATTTTAGGGCTACGCCTATAACGGGACCCTTTAGACGTAGCCGTTTGAACTATTTAATTTAAAACAATATAACTTTGATGGAAATCACAGTAATTTATTTGCTAAAACATAAATAGAAATAATTTCAATCAATTAATACAAATGAGTTAATCAACGAGGTCACGTAGTTTTGTCCGGTGGATTACATGGTAATTACGTTCTGCAATCTGATCACTGATTGGTTCAAATCAAATATTAAACCCATCTTTTACTGTGTTTGGCCAATAACATTTACGTGCTGATAAAATTGTTTTTTATAGCTGAGCGATTTTATGGACAATTTAACAAATTAGGTTAGGGGATTTCGACTTAAAACCCCTTTGGGACTCGTACCAAAAAAACATTAACCCCTCCCAATTCTATTATTACATAATCTAATAAAAATAAAACATAGCACCCATCTAAAATATGTGCGTAAATTTCCAACGTAGGCGTTTTTTTTTATAAGTATTATGAAACTCATGGATTTATATGATTCTAATAACAATGCATCTCCTTTTAAACAAAGGTTCTGGT